GTAAAATAAACAAATAAATAAATAAAATCAGATTTTAGCAATACAACCAAGATAATCAGTGTAAAAACAGAACGACTTATTACCATATATTCTAATCCGGTTCATCAACGTTTTCACGCTAAACGTTGTAGATGAGTTTAAATTACTGCACATCCTATACCGATTTCATCATCCATGAAAACTGAAATGGCCGCGCAAGTATATTTTCTGTATTTACTGCTCAAAATTCAAAATCATTCATCCTTTATAGGATTATATGCCTAAAATCAGAGTAATAAAAAAAATCGATAAAATATAATATTTAAATATTAAGTAATGACAACGAAACAGATGAAAGTATTAACAATTAGGTGTGAACCATAGATAAATTATAAAGATGTATTGACTTATCGACCATCACTTCCAAGGGTTTTTCTTATACGATGACACCTTTACACCTAGATCGTCTAAGGCCTAAGTTGAAACTTTGAATAATAAAAATATTTGTCAACTTCATTTCAAGTATACTTGAAGTTGACTTTTCAGACCGCAAAGTTTTTTTTTCAATAATATGATGTAAGGTTGGTGGTAACAAATGGTTGGTTAGTAAATATAGGCGTATAGTGAACACACGCATGCGAATTTGTTATAGCAAACCATATCATAGCAAGACAACGTAGAACCAACAGAAGAAACATCCACTTGCTTCGGAAACAAAAAAATCGAATATTATGCGGTTCGAATGTTCTCGATAGGAAAATAAATTCAATGGATCGACATGTGTGGGGCGTGTGTAACATTTCAATTTCTTAATATGCACATAAATCTAATGATGCATGTTCGTGACACAATCGATCTATCAATTACATGTGATGCCGATCATCTTGAATTATCTGATTTAAGACTTTTTTTTTTTTTGGCGACGAATATCGTTGACTCATGAATGCTGACCGATGATGAACTTGTCAAGGTAAATCGATTCCAATGCCAAGGACAACAAAATGAAACCGATGACTCGTCCCATCATTCCGTCATTTCAGTTAAGTCGGATAAATCCAAATAATCTTAATTAAAACTTGAAAGAGAAAATTTCTACAAATCTTGGGGGACACTCGAAAGAGATCAGAGCGTTTGAACTGAGAAAACATCTTTCACCATTCCTGTGAATCAACAATGATTAAAGAAAAAATTTTTTAGATGAACAGTGAATAAGATACAATATGTCAACTTTATTTGCTTAATAACTTATCTAACTCAATTATAATATCAAATTTTCATTGAACTATGAGCTCCAAGATCAGGTTTACCGTCAATGCATCGTCATCTAACTTTGTCGTTTCATTTCTACGCCCATCTTTTTCCATATCCTCTCGATCCATTCTAATTGTAAGAAACTTCTTTTCACGATCATACATCACCTTTTCGTCATTTAATACCTCATCTCCCAAACAAGCCTTGATTTTTGTCACAAAACCATTTCTCGCATCCAGGTGAAACCCACATTCTCCATATCCAATTAATCTGACCTCGTATAACAATTTTCCTCGTTGATTTTGAAATTTAGTCGAGTGTACGGCTCTTGAACCATTATATTTGTCGATCAACCCAAAACATGCGATCATGATACCGAATTCATCTCCGTTGGATTTTTGTCCAGCTGCGACATCGATCGGCGAAACCGTCACGATTTCGAAGCTCCCTGGCTGTATCATCACGGGAATTCGTTTATCTAGTCCGAGCAAATCGATCACGCAAGTTTCCTTATTCTGAAAAAAGTATGTTGCACATTTGTAATGGCGGTTGCTACCGTCATTCTCGTTGATCCTTAAGAATTCGAGGTCGTGAGTATCGTCGAGACAAATTTGATCTACCAAAGCATATTGCCTACAATTCCATAGGCCAATAACACCAATTCTTTTATTTTTATTATATATTTTTAATAATTTATCGACTTTTGTAGAATCTTGGAACAAGTTTGAAAGAGATGGTAGAGCAGGGCTTTCACTTCTGAGAATTCTTTGCGGCAATTTCGTCGACAGCTTTATTTTGGATGATTTCAAAGGGGTCGGGGATGGTTTGGTCAATTTCAAGGGCGCCGATGTTGGAATGTTGATTATACATTTGGTCAGAATCTCAACATTGTGTTTATGTGGGGGATCCGTTATGTACATTGGACTTCCACTGATTGCTCTTGCCGCAGCATGAAATTCATTAAATCTGTGTGAGGACTGGAACATGTCCCTAAATAAAAAGAATATATGTGTTTATTGGAATTAATAATAGGATTAAATGGAAATGGTCGAATGCTTACCAATCCGGCAAGCTATACATCATGCTTGTTAACACATTATTCATCGCATTAGAGTATATGTGCCATGCATGTGAATCCTCAACATCGGGGAAATAATCGTCGGTATTTCTACGGGTTAAATAAATAAACACAAATGATGTATCTTGTATTCAGTGAAAAATGAAATAAAAATAAATATGCACGAGATGTTGCAAAACGTGACATACCTAAATAAGGGTCTACTTGTATTTTCCGAATTCTCCGTTCCAGGGCCTGATAGCACCCACTGCATAATTTTGGGGCTATGCGCCATACAGTAAATTACCCGGTTTTCGAAATTATCCTTGCAGCTTTTCTTTAAAGCTGCCTGATATTCCTTCCACCACTGCCGGTGTCTAGTTTCTCCGTTACAAATCAGATCAAAACTTCCCTGTGAATCGACTTTTAGCATACTAACACCTTCTTTTTTTAGGTAACCATGAAAGTCGTGGTAAAACCTTTGAATGTCCTTCGGTGTAATCAGGTAGATTAGCTGATCCCCCTTTTTTACCTGTTCAACTTCGTAGATGGATGATATCTTGGAAAAGGGATCGATTCCATTCCAGTAGCCCCAGAGAGTATGCCTGAATATTAATGTCGGGAATTAAGAAAAAATCTTTAAAAAGATCATCAAAAGTGAAAAAAACGTTACCAGACTCCAAAGTGCCTCACGTATTGAAATCTTTCTTTCAGCTTGCATATCAATCCTTTTAATCCATCCGGAAACTTTTTGGGATTAGGCTCAAAACTTTCCAGCTGATCACGATCATTAAACTGTTGCCATCCGTCATCTAATATGACGTATCCCACATGTACGCCAATTTCGTCCAATGATTGCAGAGCATCCATTACATCTTGATCGTGTACATTCTTATGGAACCTACAAGGTTTAATTAAAATCGTTAATCGTGCTATGAATAAAATAACATTTGATCTCACCGAAGAAAGTTAATATTGAACAGAAAAACTCACGCATTCCAAGTGCAATATCCGAGGTAATCGTAATAAAATTGTTGGCTCGTATTTTCTCCAGATTTTCCGCCAGTTCCGAGGGTGGCTTTGATCAATTCTATGCATGAACGCGAAACAATGTATGGATCTTTCCCATAACCTATGACGAATTTCGCGATACCGTCATTTCCACCATCGTTTATGGTGATCAATTTTAGATTCCCGTCCTTGTCCGTTCGAAAACTACTCGTGCATTCATCGGTTATCATAGGGATCATTACGACATAGAAACCGGTGGATTGTTGGGCCAATATGTAAAATGCGTCCATATCTTGTATATCCAGTTTACTGGTGCCCGTGACCGGTATTGTCCACCACACGCTAAAAATACAAAACATTGACACGACGCGTGTAAAAAAAGATAACAAAAAGAAATGTTACATACGTAGACCGTCTTATTGCAAAAAATTGGACCACATTCTGCAAATTTCCAAAATTGACGCATGTCGGTTGTCCGCTATTGAACCTGGCGTCGCTTGACACGTACCAGCAGTCAACATCGTCTTGTAAAACATAGTTGATACGCTTATCTTCGATTCTTTGATAGAAAATTGAACTTATTCTCTCGATCCCATGTTTTATATCTTGGGTCACCTTGCCCACAAAAATTCTGCCGTTCTGATTTTCGCTTATCCATTGCCATTTCTCACTTCCTTCCATTTTGTATCTTATGGTAAACTCATGCCAACCTTCGTCAACGTTATCAGTGGGAACCACAACCTCAAACGTTCGGCAACTATTTTTGTCATTATAGCCAACAACTTTCAAAGATTTGTCGTCATCTAGCTCTTTAAAGTCTTTTTCGGTCCAGCGTGAATCGTTCAGGTCACTCCATAGTTGGACGAACAATTTTTCGCGATGTGCGTCGTCGAGAAACCAGATCGTGATCGTTAAAGGTTTTGGTTTGTAAACGAACGTTGCCGTAAGGAGTGCCGGCTGCACAAACACTCTCATATTGACATTTTTAACTCGAAAAAATATCGAAACCACGGTTTTATATATTGTAAACGTGCAAAATACGACATATAAGGTTAACGAACTGTTTATCACGTGGACATTTCGTTTTTTTTTTTTTTTTTTTTTTGTAAAAAAAAAAACACATACACCGATATGTACATATTACGTAAAATACCCTTTCTTTCATTCTTAATTGAAACGTATGATTACATAAGTCACAAGCATAACACGTAAAAAATTTTTTATGACAGGCAGAAAAATGAAGTTTGTAAAACATCTAAAAAAAGCCACATGTTACTGCCTTTGTCGATTCCGAATGATAACAGGATGCTTTCAGATAAAGACTAGTTTTGAGGCCTCGCGATTTTTCTTTTTGTGACCAGGCTTGGTAAAGGTTTACTTGTGCTTTTCCTTATCCGAATGCATTACGTGTTTTCGACCATCCGATGATTTTGAATTTGCTGTTGAGATAATGCATTTCTTTATTGTACAATGTAACATTGTTCGGCGCCATTATAGTTATGCAAATGGTGCGTGAAGCGTAACATGACTTTTTCGGTCCGTTTATGAGTGAACAAGATAGTGAGTGCCGCTCATTTAAAATGCCCCCAAGAAAAAAAAAAAATTCCTTGCCACCCGCTGCATTTTTTCTTTCTTTTTCTTTCTTTCGTTCTATTTTTTTTCTCGCAAGATAAAGAAAAAAAAAAAAGGAAAACGCCAAATAATGGAGAGCACCCGTCCAGACCCCTGTAGCATTGTTGGTCTCTTGGTTACCAAACCAGGTATAGCAGATATTTATTACTATCATTTCCATTATTATTGTTATTATTATTATTATTATTATTATTATTTGCCAAATGAATATTTTAAACTGGCTAGACTTCAAAAGTTCATTCAAGTCTGGAGATGTTATCGAAATTGAGTTCATCTCGGCTCCCGAAGTCACCACCATCGACGAGATTAACTTGACGATTAGTTGGGAGGGTAAAGCTCATATTCTCGACACCAACGTTACCTTGACTCCTCCCGGCCAGAGGACCTACACTCTCAGGTACACCCTTCCTGAGGGCTTGAAACCTGATGCTCGATACAGCGTTGGAATTGGTTCCTTGTGGATGGCTCAATCTTGCACTTTTCCTATCAGTGAGTGTACAACTCTGTTCTTGATGCAGATTATGATTTTTGCAGGGGTTGTGGTAATTATCTCGCGTGCTTTTAGATGAACCGAAATGGGGCCTCACGATTACAACTCCTGGGATTGATCAATACTATAAAGTACGGGTGATATTTGGCATGGAAATTTTATGAGATACTGTATTCACATACAATATTCTCAAGTGTCGCATATTTATTTACTGTGTTTCTTTCTTTCTAATCCACAACATAAGAGCGGTGGTCATGTCGTTGTCAAGTGGGAAGATCGTAAGTATCTTATCTTTCTCATGGGGTTGTGCTCGGTTAAAGATCAATGCGCCTAATCTGTATGTTGCACCTTACGAATTATCACAGCCTACAACCTTTACCAGGATCTTAAGTTTCAATTCATCAAGATTTGTACATTTAACAGCATTGAAAATCTCGTTTGGACATCTGTATTGGCTCGGGATGTCTCAATCTCTAGCGGTAGATACATCGTTAAACTTCCCGAGAATCTTCCGGTCCACAAAGGCTATACCATCGGGTTTCGTGTCATTCGCGATGACCGGAATGAAGATTATTACACGTGTCCCTTCAGCGTTATCTGAAGTGGCAAAAAACTTCGTTATCATCGTTTAAATAGAAAAAAAAACTATATCATAAGAATTTTATGTTATCATGTATGATCATATGCTCATATGTACAGTAGCTCCCTCTCCCTCTCTCTAAGTACTTTTTTATTTGTTGATTACGTCGATCGCATAATTAATAAAATCGAATACTGTTTTTCTTCCATATCGAGTTAAATTGGAAACTGATTATCACTGAACTTGTCCTTTCCAAAATTGGATATTGATGACGTATGCATGTCACGTGTTTAGTGAACCAATTTTGGTATTGCGTCGTCACGAACACATGAACACCGAGGTGTTCACCATTACTAAAATGGAAATTGAACATCGCTCTAAATCTGGACTGAATGTCTGCAACTAAATAAAAACAAAGTCTTTCCATAATAGGATCTTCGACGTAAAACGGTCACTTGACTTGATTTACATATAAAAATCCTTGATTTGAATTTTGGCGTGTCGCACCCGACAAATGGTTTGTTCTACATTCTATACTTTGTGTACGCATATGGTCAATAAGACAAAAGATGTGCGTTGAACACAAATTTCATTAATTAGTCAAGGTGACTTGATTTTGTCCTTTTCTTCTTGTAAACTGGAAACCATGAGTAATGAACAATTTTTTTCGGAATATGGAATATGCGAAGAATGTACACATCTAAAAACCGGGTCTTTGTGGTGTAATACATGCAATGCGAAAAAATTAAAAGATGAATTTTCAAATTGGACAAGCGGCAACAGTGAAATTGATGACTATATTCAAGAGTCGCAACTCAAATCTAAAAATAGCGATGAGTTTATCGAATGGATTCCTTTCGAAAGATTTAAAGATGTAGAATTTATTGCGAGTGGAGGTTTTGGAAGTGTATTCAAAGCAACTTGGATTGATGGGTACATTGACTTTTGGTCTAACACGGACAGGAAGTGGAAAAGAAATAAAAAGGGGTTAGCAGTCTGCCTGAAGAGTCTTCATAATTCCACGAATAATATAAAAGGATTTCTGGAGGAGGTGAGAATGATGTTTCGGTACCGATTCCTTAGATTACTTTGGTTAATCAACGCTAATGAATTGAGTGATATTCTAGGTGGATAGTCAAGTAAGACTTCGGAAAATAGTGTACACAATCTCCATCTACGGCATTACCAAAGATCCTAAGGGTAATGACTATATGATGGTCATGGATTATGCCAAGGGCGGAAACCTTAGAACAACGTTGAAAGAAAATACCAATAAATTAACCTGGAAAGATAAACTGGTGATTTTACAATCTATAATTACTGGACTTGACGAGATTCATCGAGCAGGCATGGTGCACAAAGATTTTCACTCGGGTAATATTGTCATGGAAAGTCTGACTTGCGCATGCATCACGGATTTTGGCTTATGTAAACCAATTGGTGAAGCTCATGACACCGAAAGCACAAATATTTATGGTGTACTTGCTTATGTAGCGCCAGAGGTATTAAAGGGTCGAGAATATACAAAAGCCTCTGACATATACTCCTTCGGGATTGTCATGTCCGAGGTTCTTACCGGAAATCCGCCTTATCACGAGATTCCCCATGATGGAAAACTTGCGACGAAAATATGTCTGGGTTATCGTCCTAAAATCCGGTGCAAGGTTCCTCAGTTATTTTTGGATTTGATGAACAAGTGCCTAGATGCAATGCCCGAGAATCGACCAACATCTCAAGAAATACATGAAACTATCTACAAATATTGGGTGGATCTGTTTGATAGCGACAGCGAATCTGAAATATCCAGACAGTGCAAAGAAATTGAAAAATCTGGTGCAAACTTATCAACACATGATCCAGGCAAATTGACAGCCACCAACCTGCATTCTATTTACACAAGTCAGCTTTTGGATTACAGGAATCTGCCCGAACCTGTTAATAGCACAGCGGGTAAGGTTGTTGTTAAATTAAATCAATACATTAGCTGAAGATAGGGGCTGACATGATTTCTTTTTATTTTAAACAGAGATAAAACAACTTGAATATCGGATCCAAGACATTTCTATAGTCGAAGATGAAGACGACGAAGAATAATAAACATTAGGAATAATCTGTGCATACAATCATAGGCATTACTGTATACGGCTGTCAGAAAATATTGTATAAAATGGTTTGAATTATTGTGAAGTTCTTGCATAGCACTTTCTTAGATTTGATTACTTTATTAAATTAATTTGATAGGAATCTTGATGTGATGGCAAGCATCAGACACTAATATGGTTAACATCACTTTTTTTTTAAGTTTGATCATTTGTTTATAAACATTATTATTTATGCAGTTTGTAATGAAATAAAAAATTTTTAGAGTACCTAAATTTGAAAGTGTTTGTACAAACAAGAGACTTGGTAGAATAGCGGCCTTGTATTCTTGTAGAAAAGATAGGCTTCGGTGTATTTGACCAAACTCGACAAAGTTATAAACATGTGATATTGCAATCTTGGGAAATATAATTAATTATTTTTTATGCTGTACATTATATTGCATATTAATAAAATTTTATATCATTACTTGAAATATAATCTACAAACAAAAATCATATTATATGTATTTATTTAGGGACGGCAAATAGTTTTTAGGCTTTCCACCTCTGGTTTTTAAACCAATAAATTGTTTGAATTAATGTAATTTGTTATTTGACAGAATACATTGACTTTTATAAATTGTTAAATATCATGGTTAAATGTCACATGCAGTGTAATTAATCTGATATCAATAATTTTATTGTTATTATACTACACATTTTCATAAAAACCATTTTCTTTTTCTATAATCTATTGATTAATCCTGCTATAAATCATGTCTTAATATTTTATATTAAGATTTCTCCTGGATTAAATAGATTTCGAAAAAGTGTAATACAAACTGTTATTATCATTATTTTTTGTAAAGTATTTAAAGGTGAAAATTTTCAACTTTAAAAAAACCAAAAGTTTAAGGTTACAGTATATAATCTAACTTGAAATAATTATTACAATATATACATAATCAAAAATAAATCTTTAAACTATAAACATCAATACAATTGAATATTTTAATTATTATAAAGTATTTTTTTCAATATATAATTTTAAAATAATTAACTATAAATATTTTTTGCAAATAAATTATTAACTTAAGTATTTTTAAATTAATATTTTATTAAAATAATAATTAGTTTATAAAATTTTATATACTAAATAGTTTTATATTAAGTTTGTTTTTAAAAATATAAAAATCAATATATGTATATATTTTTTTCCTTTTTATTTTAATAAAAACTTTTTTTAATAAAATTTTAATATAACAAAAAGAATAATACATTAAAATAATAATATTATTATTATTAAAAAAATTTTTCAAAACAAATCTACATTATTCTTATCTTTTTATTAATGTTTTGATAATAAATTAAAAAAAATATATTAATATTAAATATTAAATATATTGAATAAAAAAATCAAATTTTTAGTTTAAAAATAAAAATTATCTTTATAAAACTAATATAATTTTTTTTTTTTTTAAAATCGCAAACAGGCATTAAATACAAGACATTTATTAAACATTAGTTTTATCGTCATTACATTAACAATCTTTAAAATACATAGAAGTTAAATTAACTGTAGCCTATTGCAACTTTACAATTAATATGCATTGGCACCAAGTAGATATTTACATATTAAAGGTATTGAATGGCTAATGCTTATTCAAAATAATGATACTATGGTTGGTGTAAAAATTTTTTTGTCAGTAAGATTGTTTGAATTTTTCAAGATATTGAAAACTTTTTGAAAAGTGCTTGTGTTTAAGTAATTAGTAGTACTGCTTGTCACCAAAGTAGTTTTTTTTTATTTGATTCCTGAAGTTGTTGAGGTGATGGCAGTTGCTGAGCGCTGTTTCCAAATTTTATGTAAGATTTTAAGAGAGTAATTTGAAATTTCTTCTCTTTTCTGGATAATGTTAAAGGGGGTGTTAAATTTTTCAGTAGTTATGTTGAATATTATTTTGCCTATTAAATTGGTCATTTGAAGAAGATAGGTTTCATTTGAATTCAATTTCTCTTTGGGAATATTTTAGGCAATAAGCATTTCAAGTTTGTTTCTTTTTTTTCTCAGTATAGAAAGACAGTGGTGACAGAAGAAAATATAATCCATGGTTTCTGGATAGGCTTCGCACTGGGGACATAGGTTTTCTTCATAGAGCAAGAGATATCTTTTGTGAAGTTTGGCTCGAGTGGAGAGCTGGTTTGCTAGGATTTTGGTTCAAAAGATGGAAAGTGCATGGAACTTGATTTTGTCAATATTCCTTAATTTTTTGTTGGCTTTAATAATGATGTCTAGTTCAGAAAGGTTTTCAGGTTTGTTTGTAGCAGTTTCACTTAAAAAAATGTTAAAAAAGTTGATATAGTAGTTTATAAATTTAATTTATTGCATAATGCTGATTGAAAGATTAAGCTCGATTAATGGAGATGTAATGTAGCTGGTTGGATGAAAAGTGGGAAAGGGTAATGGATTGTTTTGAGGAATGATTGAGGGGAATTGTTTTTTGTCAAAAACCCAGGTCAGAGAAATTTGTTTTCCTTTGAATTGAGTGTTGCCGCTTTAAATGACACTGCTGTATGGGCATTTTATTTGGCGATTGATATATTCGAGTAGCTTGGTGTTGAGTTTATATACAGAAAAACAGGTAATTGTGAATAGTTGAGAAACTTCAGAGCAGAGTGAGTTAAGAATTATCCAGAAGAAATAGAGGAGATTGAGATTTAGATTATAGATAAGAGATATTTGAGAGCTATGGATAGTTATTGTATTGTTGTTTATAAAGTAAATTGTATGATAAGTCTGTGGCAGAGGAGGTAATTGTTGAGGAATAGAAATAATTGTAGTATAGTGAGGCCCAGTAGGGAAGCTATTTATAAGTTCTTGAAGGTTATTAAGAATGTAGTGGGTGCCATTTCTTTTTGTTGACCATATAGATTTGAG